TCTCTGTTGATATCCCATACATAATCAAGCATTTCACACATGTTATCCAGATACTAACTGTTAGCATTTGGTGATCTATAGCAGCTTCCCACCAAAATGGGCTTTAGGTGAGGCAGATGAACCTATAGCCATATTACAGTATTTAACATGAAATCCTCTCTAAGCGTTAAAGAAATGTGGTTCTGAATATAAACGACAACACCTCCACCTTTAGCATTTCTGTCTTTTCTGTAGATGTTATAACCATGTATTACTACCACTGTATCATCAAAGATATTATCTAAGTGAGTTTCAGAGATTGTCATAATATGAATGTCATATGTTACTAGCAAATTATTGATTTCATGAACCTTGTTTCTGAAGCTACATATGTTAACGTGGGCTATTTTTAGCACTTTTTTGAGATGCTTGATTGTTTTCATTGCTTTACTGGGAAGCTTAGCAGAAGTAGACATGCTCATGTTATTTATGTTAGTGCAGGATGTGCTGCACACAGCGGACTTCCTACTAGGGCACACCGCCTCAGTGCTAACAGTATAACTGGTTCATAGCCTCAACACTGGGACTGTGAGACTGAAAAACAGGCCTCAGACTGTTAAACAGCCATCACTAGCCGGCTTCCACCATGTTATGCAACCCTGCACCTTAGAGGCTGCTGCCCTATATTATTCTATAGATCTTGGCGCCGACGAAGATGGCGGCCTCACGACTAGCTCTTAGGAAACTTTCCAGTATTTTGTTTTTTTATTTATAATTTTTTACTATCTTGTACTACTCATCTCATATGTATATACTGTATTCTATTCTATAATATTGTACTGTATCTTAGTCCATGCCGCTCTGTTATTTCTTTTCCACATATGTACAGTGAGGGAAAAAAGTATTTGATCCCCTGCTGATTTTGTACGTTTGCCCACTGACAAAGAAATGATCAGTCTATAATTTTAATGGTAGGTTTATTTGAAGAGTGAGAGACAGAATAACAACAAACAAATCCAGAAAAACGCATGTCAAAAATGTTATAAATTGATTTGCATTTTAATGAGGGAAATAAGTATTTGACCCCCCTCTCAATCAGAAAGATTTCTGGCTCCCAGGTGTCTTTTATACAGGTAACGAGCTGAGATTAGGAGCACACTCTTAAAGGGAGTGCTCCTAATCTCAGTTTGTTACCTGTATAAAAGACACCTGTCCACAGAAGCTATCAATCAATCAGATTCCAAACTCTCCACCATGGCCAAGACCAAAGAGCTCTCCAAGGATGTCAGGGACAAGATTGTAGACCTACACAGGGCTGGAATGGGCTACAAGACCATCGCCAAGCAGCTTGGTGAGAAGGTGACAACAGTTGGTATGATTATTGGCAAATGGAAGAAAACACAAAAGAACTGTCAATCTCCCTCGCCTGGGCTCCATGCAAGATCTCACCTCGTGGAGTTGCAATGATCATGAGAACGGTGAGGAATCAGCCCAGAACTACACGGGAGGATCTTGTCAATGATCTCAAGGCAGCTGGGACCATAGTCACCAAGAAAACAATTGGTAACACACTACGGCCATGAAGGACTGAAATCCTGCAGCGCCCGCAAGGTCCCCCAGCTCAAGAAAGCACATATACATGCCGGTCTGAAGTTTGCCAATGAACATCTCAATGATTGAGAGGAGAACTGGGTGAAAGTGTTGTGGTCAGATGAGACCAAAATCGAGCTCTTTGGCATCAACTCAACTCGCCGTGTTTGGAGGAGGAGGAATGCTGCCTATGACCCCAAGAACACCATCCCCACCGTCAAACATGGAGGTGGAAACATTATGCTTTGGGGGTGTTTTTCTGCTAAGGGGACAGGACAACTTCACCACATCAAAGGGACGGTGGACGGGGCCATGTACCGTCAAATCTTGGGTGAGAACCTCCTTCCCTCAGCCAGGACATTGAAAATGAGTCGTGGATGGGTATTCCAGCATGACAATGACACAAAACACACGGCCAAGGCAACAAAGGAGTGGCTCAAGAAGAAGCACATTAAGGTCCTGGAGTGGCCTAGCCAGTCTCCAGACCTTAATCCCATAGAAAATCTGTGGAGGGAGCTGAAGGTTCGAGTTGCCAAACGTCAGGCTCGAAACCTTAATGACTTGGAGAAGATCTGCAAAGAGGAGTGGAACAAAATCCCTCCTGAGGTGTGCAAACCTGGTGACCAACTACAAGAAATGTCTGACCTCTGTGATTGCCAACAAGGGTTTTGCCACCAAGTACTAAGTCATGTTTTGGAGAGGGGTCAAATACTTATTTCCCTCATTAAAATTCAAATCAATTTATAACATTTTTGACATGCGTTATTCTGGATTTTTTTGTTGTTATTCTGTCTCTCACTGTTCAAATAAACCTACCATTAAAATTATAGACTGATCATGTCTTTGTCAGTGGGCAAACGTACAAAATCAGCAGGGGATCAAATACTTTTTTCCCTCACTGTATATATTCTTAAATCCCATTCCTTACTAGTTTTGTGTGTGTTGGGTATGTGTTGTGAAATTGTTAGATATTACTTGTTAGATATTACTGCACTGTCGGAGCTAGAAGCACAAGCATTTCGCTACACCTGCTATAACATCTGCTAAACACGTGTATGTGACAAATACGATTTGATTTGATTTAATGAAGTTGGAACACAGGAGCTATATCTCATAGTTGCACAAAAATTATTGGACACCATCCAGAAATTATAAATTACAAAAGACCATGCAGATGTTTAAATCCCCCTAAAAAAGCAAAGTCAACAACATCCAATGCTTTCTTTTGTTAATGTAAACATGCTGCGGCATTGAACAACCATGTAGTCTCTATAGTTTGGATGCCATTCTCTAAGATTCTTGAGATTCTGGCATTTAAATGGAGCCGCGGTGGAAGTCCCACTTTTCATCCTGTGGACTCCAGATAGAAAAGTTATCAAAAAGTGGCACCTTTACAATAATTTCTAACAAGACAGATAAAATACACATTCTCATGGACACACACACACACACACACACACACACAAATAAGTCAGAAGAAGTTTAAGGGTTGAGAGCACAAATAGTCAAAACAGTGATTGAGGAACGAGAGGTGTTGAGAAATGAGGTGTATCAGAGTTCAGAGGAGGTCGTTTTAAAGGCCGTGAGAGAATGTGTGCAAACTGCAAGTCAGAGCATCAATCAACAAGCATCAGATTCCCAAGAGAACATCATCAATAACCAATACATTATTATTATCCCCTTATTCCCAAAGTCATTCTCCGAAGCCAAAGCAGCGCTAATGCTAATTATTATCAACAAAAGTGTCCGCATTGACATGTGGTCAGGATCATTGCTTCATAAAATAGAGTAATCATTTTGTGTGCTGGTACTGTTTATATTTAGGTGCAGGAGCTCCACAATACTTTTGAGCTAATATTCTATCAGAGGAATAGGAGCTCAAGCAGTAGAACATTTTGAGGTGCCGGGATTCAGCTCTGGTGAGCTCCTGCCCAAGCCAAGCACTGTAAATAGAGGCATGTAACTAAAAATATACTAATAATTAGGTAATAAAACTTTTGTCTGTCTTTATGTCGTCCTGTTACTGCTTTTACTGCTAGTAGGTTTGGATTCATGTAGCTACTCAACAAAACAATGTCTACAGTGCAAAACAAGAATGAACTAAGATATTCATCACATCATTCATTTATGTTTGTTTTGTTGACTCACTGGTTTCCATTGAATAGGCCTCTCAGTCTACTCTATTGTCATTCAGGCAGAAACAAATGACTTGCAGCATATCGAAGGCTGATCCAATTGATGGCAGACAGTCTGTGTTGTTTCTTAACTAAGCAATAACATCGCGATAAACTCTCCATTACATTAATCGTTGTCATTGGTATACATCCTATTTACAGGGGTCCCTAGGAGCTGTAGGAATAGTATTCACGTTTTTTTTAAATGGTGAAGAATTGCAATCCATTTTTAAGGACAAAAACAAGGAAACCATTATGTTTGCTTATAAATGTAAAGTTGACTGTCTAGAACAGATTGAATTACCAGACGTGATGTGAATCACTAGACCATAGCAGAAGAAATTGATTTTGTTTCTCAAGAAATGTCTCTCTCAATGAACAATGGATACGGATTACAAAATTGTGTAAAAGCATCGTGACAATTGTTTGGCAGAATCATATGCTTTTTGGCCTCACATTCATACACCGTAAATGATCTGTTTGCAAGAAGGCTATGAGATAGTTGTGTAATCAAAGTAAGCGACGGCTAAGATAAGCCTATAGTGCATTAGTGAGGGATACCTGGATTTGTATTAAACAATATAAAACAGACTTTCCCTTTCCCCCTATATTTCCCTGTGGTGTTCGAACAACCCTTTCAGCACAGTAACACAGTTTTACCACCACCACAGAAAAGTGCACTGATCGTTTTTCAGGTCTCTCTTCATAAAGGTCGCTGGAAACACAACACTGGTGGCACTAGAAGCACATTGTTGATCTGAATGAAGGAAAACTACAGTATCACTGGCCAGATAGATCTACTATACATATATACTGTCTTATTTATACTTATATATGTCTGCCATCCCGTCTACAGTTAGATACTGTACAAAAGTCAACAGTCATCATGTCCCAACTGGAATCCGGTCTTTGAATACTCTGTAGCAGATGAGGCAGATTGTTAAACTATTGTTAAACTATTAATATTGTGATCAAAAAGGGACAGAGTTGGATAGAATTAGTCTAATAAGAACGGTGCAAAACCCTCACAAGATAGACAGCAGTTAAATCACCCTCAGATTTCCTTCTTCATTCCTCCTCTCACCTGCTAGTTACTTCGTCTTTAGACAGGAAGTGGACGGCCTGCCCTTCAATCAGAGGGGAAGGTGGAGGTTTCATAGATCCAAACATCAGAGAGATGTTGTTCAGGCAACACCCCTTGAAGTTAATATTCCTTCCATTGAAATCAACAATGAGAAAAGAATCCTCACCGGTTTTCTACCAGAATAAGGCATATGGGTTATCAAGTATGTAGCGATACAGCTGAAAGTTCTTTAATAGATATTTGGGTGAGTACATAGGCTCTTTAGGGTTTGTAGGTGGGTACTCCCCCACCGAGCCATCGAACCATCCCCCAGTCCGGATCAAGCCCTTGATGTAGTTCAGGTCTCGTTTTTCCACGTAGTCTCCCCAGCGGGGGAAGTCTCCATTCTGGGCAGAGATTAGCTTTTGGGAGATTCCCTCTGGTCTGAAGCACCAGGAACAGTGCCAGCCTGCGTAGTGGATGGAGCTCCCAATGGACCACTGCACCAGGATGTGTCCACTCTTCCTCTGGTAGTTCTGGAAACCCGGCATGGAGAAGTATTCCCTGCGCCTCAGTGATATCCCGTCTCCATTGTAGACGGCGAAGAGCATGGCGACGGTGCAGGCGGAGAGGACGTCCAGCGTCCCGGGCTGCCTCCAGAAGAAACCATAAAGGGACTTTCTCATATGGATGGACACAGGTTCCGTCCAGCCGTCGTAGAGTTTGAGGAAGAGGATGCCCTCGCGGGCCGGGATCTCGTCTGCGTCGTTGATGAGGAAGACATCATCCGGCCTGGCGCCTTGCACCCTGGACATCCCGTCACGGCTTAGAAACGTTCGCAGGTAGTCGTCAGCAATCCACCCGTTCTGCTGGCCACCTTTAGGGAAGTGATCGAGTAATACATAGAGGATCTTATTGTGCACATAGTCGTAGGTCCCGTTGAGCAGAAGGCGCAGGAAGTGTAGTGGCTTGGAATTTCCGTAGGCCGTGAAGGTTGACTCACACACCAGGAAGAGGTCCACTGTGTCGGCCAACTCGTGAAAGCGGGCGTGGAGGAGGTCAAACTCGTGGTTGATATTAATGGCATTGATGACCCTCCGAGGAACCTTTCTGGGTGTCAGATGCCCCTTAGTGGGCAGGTTGGAGTGTTGCACCATGGTTGGGATGCCACAGTGAGGGCCGTGCCAGCCTGGGCGACACATACACTTCACCAGCCTCTTCCCCCAGGCTGATTTCCCTTGGGCTGACTTGGGTTCCTCTTGGTTTGCTTGCAGGATCTTACGCTGGCCCTCTCTGGCCGCCTGGACCTTTTGTCCTAAGTGGTCTTTGAGAGAAGTCATTTCTGTCCCCTCTCTGAAGCAGTATGCTCCAGACTTGGTGTGCACAAAGAACGGGGTGGGGTCATCGCGAAGATGGAAGCTCTGTTTGTGAAGTTCCCTCCTTGGCCCTTTGGGGTCTGGGAAAGTGACCGTCATTCTGTTTACATTCCCTGAGTCAGGCTGCTCCTTGCCCCATGGGTCCTGAGTGGGAGAACAATAGGAGTAAAATGAAACATATCAATGACAATGTCATATAGACCCAAAACAATGTATATGGAAAGTTGTGTCATCTTCCCTCTCACCTCACCCACCTCTGCATTCCCCTTTTCCTCCCGGTATTCCCCTGGTTCCCACAGGCCAGTGTCGAAGGGTACAGGCCCTTGGAGAGGCCACATCTCTGGGTGAGCATTGTATGAAGGGTTCCCCTTCCCTCTCCAGAGGAAGCTCAGGGCATTGACAGAGTAGCAGTGCAGCTGGGAGAGGACACACAGAGCCAACGCGCAGCAGAAAAATAACTTGTGCCTTCGAATCTTCATCCTGAAAAACAAACAACTCTTTAGCTAAACAGAATTTTACACACTCCTTACTTAACTGTAACTCAGGCATGCACACATATAGGGCTCTGCCTGTACAGAGCACATGCCCCTTTGCCCTTACAGTCTCCAAAGTGCCTTTTTAGGTGATGGTATAATTTTCCCCAAAAATAATTTACTTAAATATTTGTTTTGTCATTGTGTTACGATCGTTTACGAACGAGAAGGACCAAGGCGCAGCGTGATAAGCATACATGTCTATCAAGCGAATAAACACACAACAAAAACAACAAACGAAACGTGAAGTCCAAGGTAGACAAATAACATACCTCACACGGAACAAGATCCCACAACTAACAGGTGCCAAAAGGCTGCCTAAGCATGGTCCCCAATCAGAGACAATGAGCAACAGCTGCCTCTGATTGGGAACCACACAGGCCAACATATATCTACACATTCTAGATCTTAAACATAGAACATCGACATAGCAAACACAACACAGAAAATACACACCCTGACTCAACAAATACAAGTCCTCAGAGTCAGGGCGTGACAGTACCCCCCCCCCCAAAGGTGCGGAGTCCGACCGCGCCACATAAACATAACAGGGTAGGGGCCGGGTGGGCATTCCGCCTCGGAGGCGGATCCGGCTCCGGGCGTGACCACCACTTACTCTCCACCTCCCTGTTGCGCCCCTGGTCTGGTCTGGACCTCGGCGCGCAGCTTCCCCTCTCCTTCCACCCACGACGTACCAAGCCCTGTCTGGACCCTGGTGTGGGAGACCCCGAACCTGGAGAGGGGCTGACGTCTGGGTCTGGACTGGAACCGCTGACTGGAGCTGGATCAGGCACCGGTGGAGCAGATTGCTCTGGCTCCGGAGTGGAGCCGCTGACCGGAGCTGGACTGAACCACGGTGGAGCGGATTGCTCTGGCTCCGGAGTGGAGCAGCTGACCGGTGCCGGACCAGGCACCGGTGGAACAGGCATGGGCCGTACCGGACTGGACACACGCACCACTGGCTTGGTGCGGGGAGCAGGAACGGGTGGTGCCGGACTGGACACACGCACTACTGGCTTGGTGCGGGGAGCAGGAACGGGCCGGACCGGGCTGACTACGCGCACCACTGCCTTGTGCGGGGAGCAGGAACGGGCCGTACCGGACTGGCGACGCGCACCACTGGCTTGGTGCGGGGAGCAGGTACAGTCCGGACCGGGCTGGCGACGCGCACCACTGGGTTGGTGCGAGGGGCAGGAACAGGCCGGGCCGGGCTGGCGGACGCGCACTCACAGTCTTGGTTGGCGATGGGCAGGAACAGGCCGGGCCGGGCTGGCGCGGCACCACTGGTTGGTGCGAGGGACAAGAACCAGGCCAGGCCGGGCTGGCGACCGCACCACTGGCTTGTGCGATGACAGGAACAGGCCGGACCGGCTGCGACGCGCACCCTGGCTGGTGTCGAGACAGGAATAGGCCGGACCGGGCTGGCCCCCCGCCGCGCACCACTTGACTGGTGCGAGGGGCAAGGACAGGCCGGGCCGGCTGCGACGCCCTCACCACTTGTTTTAGTGCGAGGGACAGGAACGGCCGGACCGGGCTGGCGACGCGCACCACTGGCTTGGTGCGAGGGACAGGAATAGGCCGGACCGGGCTGGCGACGCGCACCACTGACTTTGGTGCGAGGGGCAGGAACAGGCCGGCCGGGCTGGCGACGCGCACCACTGTTGGTGCGAGGGAAGGAACAGGCCGGGCCGGGCTGGCGACGCGCACCACTGGCTTGTGCGAGGGACAGGAACAGGCCAGACGGGCTGGGACGCGCACCACTGGTTGGTGCGAGGGACAGGAATAGGCCGGCCGGGCTGGCGACGGCACCACTGACTTGGTGCGAGGGCAGGAACAGGCCGGGCCGGGCTGGCGACGCGCACCACTGGTTTGGTGCGAGGGACAGGAACGGGCCAGACTGGGCTGGCGACGCACACCACTGGTTTGGTGCGAGGGCCAGGAACAGGCCAGGCCGGGCTGGCGACGACGCACCACTGGCTTGGTGCGAGGGACAGGAACAGGCCGGACCGGGCTGGCGACGCGCACCACTGGCTTGGTGCGAGGAACAGGAATAGGCCGGACCGGGCTGGCGACGCGCACCACTGACTTGGTGCGAGGGCAGGGAACAGGCCTGGCCGGGCTGGCGACGCGCACCACTGGTTTGGTGCGAGGGACAGGAACGGGCCAGACTGGGCTGGCGACGCACACCACTGGTTTGGTGCGAGGGGCAGGAACAGGCCAGGCCGGGCTGGCGACGAGCACCACTGACTTGGTGCGAGGGACAGGAACAGGCCGGGCCGGGCTGGCGACGCGCTCCACTGGTTTGGTGCGAGGGACAGGAACGGGCCAGACTGGGCTGGCGACGCACACCACTGGTTTGGTGCGAGGGGCAGGAACAGGCCAGGCCGGGCTGGCGACACGCACCACTGGCTTGGTGCGAGGGACAGGAACAGGCCGGACCGGGCTGGCGACGCGCACCACTGGCTTGGTGCGAGGGACAGGAATAGGCCGGACCGGGCTGGCGACGCGCACCACTGACTTGGTGCGAGGGACAGGAACGGGCCGGGCCGGGCTGGCGACGCGCACCACTGGTTTGGTGCGAGGAGCCAGGAACGGGCCAGACTGGGCTGGCGACGCACACCACTGGTTTGGTGCGAGGGGCAGGAACAGGCCAGGCCGGGCTGGCGACGCGCACCACTTCCTTGGTGTGAGGGACAGGAACAGGCCGGACCGGGCTGGTGACGCGCACCACTGCCTTGGTGTGAGGGGCAGGAACAGGCCGGGCCGGGCTGGCGACGCGCACCACTGGTTTGGTGCGAGGGACAGGAACGGGCCGGACCGGGCTGGCGACGCGCACCACTGGCTTGATGCGAGGAGCAGGAACGGGCCGGACCGTACTGGCAACACACACCACTGGCTTAGTGCAGGGAGCAGGAACGGGTCGGGCCGTACTGGGAACACGCACCACTGGCTTAATGCGGGGAGCAGGAACGGGCCGGACCGTACTGGGAACACACACCACTGGATTGTGCGGGAAGCAGGAAAGGGTCGGGCCGTACTGGGAACACGCACCACTAGCTTAGTGCGGGGAGCAGGAACGGGCCGGACCGTACTGGGAACACACACCACTGGCCTTGTGCGGGAAGCAGGAATGGGTCGGGCCGTACTGGGAACATTCACCACTGGCTTAGTGCGGGGATCAGGAAGGGGCCGGACCGGACTGGCGACACACACCACTTCCTTCTGCTGCCTAACCAGCTCCTCTCGCCGTGCCTCTACACTCTCCTTCTCCCTTATAGCCTCCTGTAGCTCCTCCCTCTGACCAAATAACTCCTGCTCCCTCTGGACCAATAGCCCCCGTAACCTGGTGGCCTCCTCTCCTAACCTGCAGATTCGCCCTGTCACTGCCTCCTGCTGCCTCATCGTCCACACCGTTTGCCCCCCCAAATTTTTTTATTGGGGTTGCCTCTCGGGTCTCCGTCGTCGGCACTGTTGGCTCCGTTTCTCCTCTCCTACCTGGGCATCCTCATTCATCGCCCTCCGGTAACGGACGGCCTCCTCCTCCGTGATTCTCCCCCAACTGAGGAGGACATCTACTAACGTAACCTCCTGTTTAATTCCCGGCGTTTGCTCCTGAACACGCTGCTTGGTCCTATTTAGGTGGGATCTTCTGTCACGATTGTTTACAAACGAGAAGGACCAAGGCGCAGCGTCATAAGCATACATGTTTATTAAGCGAATAAACACACAACAAAAACAACAAACGAAATGTGAAGTCCAAGGTAGACAAATAACATACCTCACACGGAACAAGATCCCACAACTAACAGGTGCCAAAAGGCTGCCTAAGTATGGTCCCCAATCAGAGACAATGAGCAACAGCTGCCTCTGATTGGGAACCACAAAGGCCAACATAGATCTACACATTCTAGATCTTAAACATAGAACATCGACATAGCAAACACAACACAGAAAATACACACCCTGACTCAACAAATACAAGTCCTCAGTGTCAGGGCGTGACACATTGTTGCTCGCCAACCACCACCCTGTCCGTTGGTTCCCTGTCCGTTGTAGCTAGCTACCTTGCCAGAAGATCCCGATCCTACCGTTACGCTTGTTTATACTAAGCTGCACTGGGGTCAGAACGCAATCATGGTTACATTAAAACCCTTAAAACCCATAGCGGCCGCCAACGGCCTTTCATTAAATTACTATAGCGGCTGTGAATGGCCTTGTTTTTCTAACAATAATATCTGTGTCAATATCGCAAAATGAACTTGCTAACAACCTGTTGTTGTTCTCGCATGGCTGTTGTCATCAACCAGAAACCGGAAACTGGGTATGCTGTCATTTGACTTTTTTAACTTCATTACTCCAAATGACAGTGCCAAAGCAGACATGACTTTTCAGCGTGAAAGAGACTTTATTTATGTTGGTTGGTTATACGGATGTGATACGGATTTGCACACGTCTTTGCACTTTGAAAAGCGATCATGTCGAGGTGAGTGAAATAAGTAAACAGCAGATATATGTTTGGTGTTGTCAATGTCATGACATCTTGGTTGGTACAGGTGACCACATCAGCAGTAGAGCTCGAATGATTGCATGCTGTCTCATGGAAATAGTTGCAGTGTTTAGCTGTATATAAACTCAGCAAAAAAACGTCCCTTTTTCAGGACCCTGTCTTTCAAAGATAATTTGTAAACATCCAAATAACTTAACATATCTTAATTGTAAAGGGTTTAAACACTGTTTCCCATGCTTGTTCAATTAACCAAAAATGCAATTAATAAACATGCACCTGTGGAACGGTCATTAAGACATTAACAGCTTACAGACGGTAGGCAATTAAGGTCACAGTTATGAAAACGTAGGACACTAGAGAGGCCTTTCTACTGACTCTGAAAAACACCAAAAGAAAGATGCCCAGGGTCCCTGCTCATCTGCGTGAACATGCCTTAGGC